TCCTCCTCTCTCCCCTCACCCCCCCCAGCACCCCGGGCAGCCTCAGCAGGGGCCACAGGTGACAGGAGCTGGAGCGACAGGTACAGGGGGCAGCTCCAAATCCAAGCCTATCAACCGGATAAGTACCGTAGTGTGAGCAGGACGTGGAGCTCCAGAGGTCAGAGGTCAGATGATAGAGTTGAGGAGGTAGGCAGAACTAGGGCTAGAACAAAGTCTGCCAGGACAGAAAGTAACATCAGCAGTGCTAGTGACAAGAGGAAACGCAGTTTACTTCGTCTTTGCTACTTTCACCTACGCTTCCCACATATGTAGGTGAAGATAAACAGCAGAAAAAAAACTTAAATAGCACTTGCACGTGTCCTTGAAATCCGTACACACACAAACACACACACATAAACAGCGCCTCACATCTCCATATACACAGTCTAAAAATCTATAGCCATATAATCAAAGGAAAAACTAAATCTATATCTAGGTACATTGCCTCAGTTTTAATAGTTTGAAGTCTGTATGAGACTATTTATCTGTACAGCACAGAGATGTCATAATGTAACAGACCATATTTATTCAGCTGCTTACATGGGGATGTAAATAAAGACTAAACCACCAAAACCATTCCAGCGGAGTCTGGCATTAAAAACAGCAAAGAGTTGCAAAAAAAATGTCCCTTGACTTTGCAATAATTTACTTGGCTTCATGATGTCTCTGTCCATTCTTGCAGGGTCTGCTTTGCTGATACGCATTTTATTTTTCCTAAAGAAGACCTCAGATATGTCGCTTTGTCTTAAACCTTAAAACCAGTGCACGGTTTTCTGACAGTCTTTTGCTTAATGGTCTTTTACATGTCAGCAGGAGCTAGCTAATGCATTCCTGGTGGGGTGTGGGAATTAATGATACAATCAATAATATTTTTTGAATGTTTCTAAAGCTTCTCGCTGTTTTATTGATATTATGATATATCTGCTATGAGTATGATAAATATCGTCCGATAATTGTTTTGATCAGTGATTACTTGTATCAGCAGATGTTTGTACATGGTAACAGAGAGTATATGCACATATAAATTCCCTCAGTTTGCCATAGCTACTAGAGGGTGTTCTGATGTGTGAGGTGTGATTTATTTCCATAGTACCATGGTTTCCATTAAGTTCATATGTTTAAAAATGAGTATTATTGGTTTTTTAAAGTAATGAATGAGATGTGGTTTTGTTCAAATTATTTTGAACATGACCATATTCCTCCTGTTCTGTTTGGGTTGATATAAGAAAACTAGCACAATTTTTCAATTGTGATGAATAACAAAACTTGAACTTCAATGAATCTGAGTTAATATTTCTTTGTTGATTTTTATGAGGCTCCCGGTATTACAATGTAGAAAAAAAACTTTATTATACATAATTCTACAGAGCACCTGTGCTAACCTCCTCAGAGTCATCAGATAATCATTGTGTGTTTTTCTCTGTTTTGAATAAGCGAGCTTTTACATGAAGTTTTGTGGTTTTGCACATGTGATGTCTTAAGTCAGAAATGGCCTTCCTCTAATCCTCCCTCTTCTCTCATGCCAATCTCTTATTACATTTTCTGATGCCTTGGCATCCTGCTGAGGGCTTGTTTAAAAACAAATCAAGAGTCAAGAATGTAAAAATGCCTACAGGTACATACTGCATTTCCCTTTCTTTTGTTTTTACTGTGGGCCTTGTGTAATTGTTATCCCTTTTGCTACCAAAATTTTTGAGGTTGAAATTGAACACTGATACGGTTTACCTTCAGTGCCACTGAATACCATAAGGGAAAACTATATATATATATATATTCTGATTCAGGAGAGAATGAATAGGTGAGGACAATGTAAAGAAATCTATGGAATAAGCTACTGAAAAAGATGAAGAAACTGAAGAGCTGAATTTTCATGAAAGTGATTATACTGAGCTTTGGAGATTGTCAAGAATGTCAAATGAAGATTTTCTATATGTTGGCTAGCCTTTTCTTTTTATGGTGTCTTTTTTTGGCTATTCTTGCATGAATATATCTGCACTTATTGAATGGATTGTACTGTATAAACCTGAATGTACATATTATACTATACATAGGCTTCTTATCATAAATATGGGATGAACTACTCCCACTCTGTATTCAGGTGCGTGCATGAGTCCCACTAAGTATGTACACAAAAAGAAGAAGAGGGATAGATGTTGGCCAAAATGAATATTGACTTCTTTTTCTTTTCTCATTATTTAAGACTGAAGGTGAGCGAATGAGTTACAATCATATAAAGCCTAAAAAAGTTTATATGTCAGTGCACTTATTGATATTATTTTCAACAAATGATTTCATTTTTTTCTTTGTGTATGTATTATGTGTACTGAAAGATTAGAGAACTGAGATGTGAATATTTATTGCTTCTGATAAATTAAAGTGTCCTTGCAGTGAAGCGGCCTTTGTGTGTACTTTTTTCTGATATAATAAAAATCTGCTTGCACCACCAAATTGCTCAAAATAAGTAAACATCTTACTGGATAAAAAGAAATATAATATGAGAAAGATCTATCACGAGACCAATTTTATGAGGGACCTTATAACAAGATATCATTAACCTTTAAGGTAGTTTTTGTAGTTTTACATGATTTCATTATTTTTATTGGGTAGCTTACAAAAAGAGATTTTTTTTTAAATAACACTTTCTAGTTTACCATATAGTCTACTGTCAGTTATTAGGACACTATGAGATTTGGTGTGATAACAAAGCAAAATAAATAAACCCATGTCAATTAGCCATAGGCCTACATGTTATCCACTAGGCTATTTTGCGTATGTTAATGTCTTTTAGCATTAATAAATTGGCCAATTCAATTCAAATATGTTGTGCCACGTAGGGTAATTTTGAGGCAAGCTGATATATTTCACTGTATAGGCTACTACGTGTTTTTCAAATAGAAATATTGTGCTTTTTTACTTCTTTTGTCTAATCTGCTGGTTTTAAATATGATTCCAGAAAACCCTTTACAAATAACGTAATGGTATAAAAACCAAACATCATATACTGAAGGTCAATTTCACTCTACATCAACCAGTTCCGTTAAGAACTCTAGGAGAATGAGATAATAACAGTGGCCGTGTCGAATTTTATTTCTTTTTTAGAAAGCATTTTTGTAAAGGGAGTATGTTTACATTGTGATATTCCCAAGTGTACTTACGTAAAGACTCCTGGTAGCTACAGTACTTCTTTTAATATGGTCCCTGTAGGCTACGTGATTTCTGTTTGCGTACGTGGGTACTACTTTCAGGGAGTAGACGTGACGGACGTGGTGTGAGGAGGTGAGGTTGTACTTTGGTCGTGGGGGAAAAAAAAAAAAAAAAAGCTAAGATGGCGTCTCGTGAAGAAAGATAGGATGGCTTAAAGAGTGATGATGTTGGTCGGAGAATGATTGATAAGGACATAATTGGTACAGTTTGAGACTCATATACTATTAAAGGAACCTCTGCCATACATGTTTCGAACCTGTGTGTTTGGCAGAACGGAGTATATGGGAAACTGAGACTCATAAACGGTAAACTTTGCTACCAGCGGTAGCTAGCCAACTGGACCGAGCACAGCTGGCCAACCTTAGCTAGTCACCATCACAACAGAGGAAGGAGAGCAGCTACCAGCCCTATCATACCCCGGGACATCGATGTGTCTTCGGGTCAGTCATAGAAATGCATGAGACAATGTAACCTAGTGTAAAAGGGTCAGTAATTAACTGCATGTGGGGTTTTTTTGTACTTACAGATAACTAGTTATATGAGTAGCGTTGTGTTGGTTAGCGGGGCTTCGGTTATAATATTGACTTAACGGTAGTTTCCTTAATATTAGCTGACCATTGCTAGCTAGTGCTCAAAACCGTAGGAGGAGATGGGACTGGGCTGCGAAGAAGTGGAGGCCTGGATGCTAATGTTAGCTGTAAACGTCGTTATCGCCTCTGATAGCTTAACAATAGACACAAATAGACTACACGACTAACCGAAGAAGAGAAATGAATGGGACATAGCTAACGTTACCACACTATAAACTATCGAAATGAAGGGAGACTTTTTTAGTCTTAACAGTTGTCACTGGATGGTAGTGTTAGTTTTAACGTCAGTTCTTCCAAGTTTAGTTAGTAGCTAATAGCTAGCAATTGTCAGCTAACAGTTGTTTGTATTTTTGAGTAATTTAAAAAGCTGTAAAGTGCAACTAGTTGGCTCTGGCAGTCGAGTCATAGTGAATTTGTGGTAATTTGAATCACCAAACCCACCCCACTTGAGAGTAGTGATGTTTTCCTGGCCTTCTATACTTTAGGGTTCATGGCCTCCACGCCATTGTTTTTCTGAAGGCCCAATAAGAACCAGATAAATGGTTGACATGTCACTAAAGACCCAAAATGAAATTGTTGACATTTTTAATGTGAATTGTATATGCAATGCCCCAGAACTAAATATATTATTTTATGACTGTTGCACATACAAATTCCATGAATCTGTGCTTATTGCTGAAGTGCATAAGCAAATGTTTCCATATTTAAAACATTTGATTGTGATTCTGATGGAACATCACTTAATTGATGCCCATTTCCACACTGGGCCTTGTTGGTTCATCAAAGCCTGACATTTTGTTTTGTTTGACATTAGGGAGGGGGTTTTAACAAGGACCACTTGGAGGGCAAAAATTAATTCCTATCCTGGAATCCCTCGTGTCTGCTCTTAATGATTATAGGTGTTGTTGGAGGAAATGAAAAATCATTGAAAGTGCAGAGGAACAAACTTTGATATATAAAGCTGATGATATTAGTGTTATTTTATTACAGGAAGTAATCATTTGACAAGTCTAAACAAGTGGAATAATGGTTTGTATTAGATGTATAATTTTTTCTGTCATGCACTGGCCCATTTTATTATTAAATTAAGCTTCCTTGCTCATTGTCAAATCATATGTTTCAGTTAACTGTCACCGGGAAGAATTTTTGAGATGTGTATACACTTGCCGGCCACTTTATGAGGTACAATTGTATGCAACATTTCCTCCTTAACATCTGTGTTTATGAGCTCAAAATGTGTCAGTTTATGGTGAAATTGTCATAAATGTCTATATTTAATTATATGTTTATTATTGAGGCCATAGTTAAAGGTGGTGTTGTACTAAACTACATTATATTTAAAGGTGTCTATATTTTTGTCCTCCCAATTTAAATACACGAAAGGGTCAGAATATTAGGAACACTTCTAAATTTACAAAATTGTAAAATGGCTGATGAGCATAAACGTCATTTCTGAAAACAAAATGCTTAAGGTACTTGTGAGGTATCACTTCCTCAAATTTTTTGCTTTATGCTACTCTGAATTGTCCTAGAGTGTCTGAAGAAGAGTAGGTACTCTATAGATCTCACAGTGTGGAAATTTTCTGAAAGAACGAGGTTTGTGTACATGAAGTACTTTCTGGGTTGGACTGATTGAGATAGTTCTTTATCTTGCTTTGCATTGTCTGTCTTCCTGTTGTCAGGGCAATGGAAGGCGAAGAGTTTGTACCTCCTCCGGAGTGCCCAGTATTTGAGCCGTCATGGGAGGAGTTTCAGGATCCCCTGGCCTACATCGCCAAGATACGCCCAATTGCAGAGAAGTCTGGAATCTGCAAAATTCGACCTCCACCAGTAAATACATATTTGCTTATACCCTAGATTATGTTGGTGAAATTGCATGGTCCTTGTGTAATGTGTAGCACATGTAGGGTCTAAAGTATGTACTGCATGTAGAAGTACTACACTCATGTTTGGACACACTTTTCCATTGAATTGAATGGTAAAGTGTGTCCAAATATTTGACTGGTAGTGTAAATCCAAGGCACATGGGACTTGTTGTTTAAGATGTTTCAGCAATCATCAGAGACTCCATTGGTTCTAGTGTTATGAATGAAATAGATCTTTTTTTTATTTTGTTTTGCTTTGTCAGGATATCTGTGAGTTAGGTCTCACAAAACATAAACCAAGTGATCCTGTACAATCACTCCAATAGGGTTGGCTATCAAGTAAAGTCCTGCTTTGAACATGAATAATTCATTTTTAACATGAATTATTTATGTTGTCACAAAACATAAACCAAGTGATCCTGTATAATCACTCCAATAAGGTTGGCTATCAAGTAAAGTCCTGCTCTGAACATGAATAATTGATCATTTTTAACATTAATTATTTATGTTCAACATCAACAAGAAGAACAGTATGTTTAATGTAAGATGTTGTAAAAAATCAGAATGGGAAAGGTTAAGGCAGATATTTAATTCTGCTAAATCATATGTATTTGCACAAAAATTGCAACTGTAATTTGTAATTTTCTTTACAAATACACCCCAAAAGTGAGATTTACACTTGTGTTCAGTTTCACTCCTATATTACATTTTTTTCATTCCTGCCATGCCAATGATATCACTGGTGTACAATTTTAAAACATTTTCTGCTTCCCAATTTAATTGTGCTAATTTACCTGGATTGTGAGGTGCTGAATTAAGATATGACCTTTTAAAGGAGCAAAATTCATACATTGCCAGTGCCATATTTTACAAACCATTTTAGATATTTTTGTTTTCAGTGGCTCAGAATTTGCAAAGGTTATTTTTGTTTTGTAATCATTTTGTTTTTAGACCAGTGTAATTAGCTATCAGCTATAACAAATACAATTTAAGCAATCATCACAATGTTACATTTCAGAATAAACAATTTAACTAAAGTAAAAGCACAGGACTTAGGAAAAATACAAGTGGCATTGTTGACTGTAGCATTTTTTTGTATATCATATATATACATTTTGTGGTTTCTTTAGAACTGGTTGTTGAGAGTTCAGTCTTTTAACTGCTGATAGTATAAACTTGCCCTTGAGTAGGTGATCTTGGTTATTCTTTTTTATTAAAGCTGAGCCAAGTCCACCCTGAAAGCCACAGTTGAGCCACACATAAACCCGAACTACGTTCAGTATTTTATTTCCCATTTGCTTTTTTTAGGAAGCTCCTTGAATTACGGAGGTTTGCATCGAAGCAGAAGTTACACAAGTTATTGTTTTAGCATAAACTGTGGGGTTATAAGTTTAATTGTATGCATTTGCTTTCTTACAGGACTGGCAACCACCATTTTCACTGGAGCTGGATCGCTTCCGCTTCACACCTCGCATCCAAAGGCTTAATGAGTTGGAGGCAAGTTCCTTTTCCCTTCTCATTGTACATTGTTGACATATATTTCAAGTTGAATTAAAGTTGGTACTGGCCATAGTAATCATGGTGGTCCCCCATACCTCTCATTTTAGGCGGAGACCAGAGTGAAGCTGAATTATTTGGACCGTATAGCCAGGTTTTGGGAGATCCAGGGATCCTCCTTAAAAATCCCACATATCGAAAGGCACATCCTTGATCTTTTCAGCCTGTCAAAGGTCAGTATGAACAGAGATGTATTTACTCAGAAGAAACATTTTAAAGTAGATGTTTTTTCTTCCTTAGCTGTGATTTGCTAAAATTGTCAAAATGCGTTTTGGTTCCAGCTTGTGACAGATGAAGGAGGTTTTGAGATGGTCTGCAAGGAACGGCGCTGGGCTCGTGTGGCCCAGAGGCTTGGCTACCCTCCTGGCAAGAACATTGGTTCTCTGCTGCGCTCGCACTATGAGAGGATTGTCTACCCTTTTGAAATGTTCCAGTCTGGTGCCAGCCTGCCGGTATCACTACACATTCTTGTATCTCTTTTTTTGCGTCACCTTGGGCCAACATTTAGTAGATACCATTCAAAACGAGTTGATCTGTGATGAGTAGCTTGGTCATTATGTGGCACATTATATGCTTTCTTTTGGTTATAATGTCTTTCTTTGATACATCATGTGTGGACATGGTTTTTATGTTAACACTTCTTTTTTTTGATGAAATTTTTAGCATTGCAAGCCAAAGCATTATGATGGTGAGGATGTGGACAAAGAGTACAAGCCTCACTCCATCCCCTTGCGACAGTCTGTGCAGCCATCCAAAATGAGCAGTTACGGACGCAGAGCAAACCGCTGCCAGCCTGATGTGAGTGTTCAGTACCTGTCCATACCTATTCAGTGAACTGACCCATCTCTATGAACTGTGCTTTGGTTGTTTATATAGTTTTTGGGTCACATTTTTGCTGCCTCAAAATTAAGCCTAGAAAATTAGGGAAGCTTTTTTTGTTTGTTTAGATTTTAAAGACCACAGAAATCACAAGCGTTTGCTCTTTGACAGATCAGCTGTACCAATTTGTTTCAAGAGTGGCACTGAGTTAAACATAGGAATAAATAAGTGAATGTAAACAGCCAGGTATTTAAGCTGTCCTTACCTATAACTGCTGATGATCTCCCTTAAACCACCATCAGAACCGTGGCTGCTGATGATATTATCTATACGAGTATTCAACATGTCAGTATTTGTTTCATTGAACATAAACTTATCAGCCACTTTATTTCGTAAACCTTGCTAGTACCAGGTTGGCGTAAAGGCATGGACATGCTCAGCAACAATACTCAGGTAGGCTGTGGCATTTAAACAATGCTCAGTTGGTACTAAGGGGCTCAAAGTGTGCCAAGAAAGCATCTCCACACCATTACATCACCACCACCCTGAACTGTTGATACAAGGCAGGATGGATTCATGCTTTCATGTTGTTTACACCAAATTCTGACCCTGACATCCAAATGTCACAGCAAAAATCATAACTCATCAGACCAAGGCAGCATTTTTCCAATTTTGGTGAGCTCTTGCTCATTGTAGCCTCAGTTTCCTGTTTTCAGCTGACAGGGGTGGCACCCAGTGTGGTCTTCTGCTCCTGTAGCCCATGCTATGTGATTGGCTGATTGGCGTTAATGAGCATTTGAATAGTTGTACCTAATAAAGTGGCCAGTGAGTGTATTTCCAGTGCATCTGTTTACATGATTTGAACTAAACATTGGTGTTAACTCAGTAAGGCAGCACAGCTAGAGAAATCATAACATTACTATTAATAAAAAAAGTTATGTGCTCTATATTGGAACATAACTAATCCAGCTGATACTAATTAGCACAGGTAAGAGCTAATTAGTGGAATCACCTGGTTCAAAGCCTTTTCTTACTGTATTTAATATTTTTTTGCTACGTCATTCCAATTTAATACTACTGTGTGTTTTAATGTTGTAATTGAAAAATCATCAGATTTTTCCCAGGACTTAAATCAGTGTTCATTGGATATAAACATGTTATTTAATGACTGAGCAGCAAACATAGAATGCCGGCACTTAATAATGTTTAACATCCAAAGTTTTAGTACCATTCAGTAGTATCTATGGCCAACAGATATACCAAATGAATAGTGATAGAGCTTCCATCATTACAAGCTAACAAAAAAATTAACTCAGCAATCTTAGGCATATGTTGGATGACAGTCTTTAGTGTGTACCATGCTGCCATGTTAGTGACTGTTTTTCTGTACCTATTATTTGCCACCGTGCATGAGTTGCAGTGTGTTATCTGGATAACGTGACAGTCCACTGAGAGTGCATCCCAGATTGCTTACTCTCTGTCCCTCCATGCTGCTGTGCTTAATTCTGTGGGTTTTGCTCTCTGCTCCATGGCTTTTTTTTTTCTGTGCTTTGTTTCTTCCATCTCCCAAGTCAGCACACAACATTTTATTTTATAAGCCACATATTATTACAAGACCTGTTGTAATGTAATACACAGCACTGTATCTGGACCAGTCTATTTTCAGTTATGTCATGCTTGTTGTATGCAAGCTAGCAACGCTTCACCTTCTACCCTGTACACTGCTCCCCAGAGGTTGTTAAAGACCCGCTCATCATGCTTTGAGTATGTAATGCTCGATGTTGGTTTTCATTGAATAAGTTGGAATAAATTTTTTTGTTGTTTTTCATGTTTAGTTATATGCTAAATTAATATGTACAAAACTAAATTTAAAGGACATTTCTGATAACAGATGTCATCAAATGATGGACACGATAACTGACATCTACTCAAAGAATGATTAAAAATAGGCATTCATATGAAATCCAATGCATTGGCTGTTACTTCCGTTGTTTCCTCATTGCGTAAACATTGCGTACAAGATGCTGTCCTAAGCTTTGAGAATTTCTTCATTAACAGTTGAGCATCTTTTTAAGCACAGAGCCACTTAGCTGATAAACTGACATTAAATGTCTGCAGCCTTCTCCAAAGCAGTACTAGATACCCACCCCCCACAAATTTTTTTACTGACTTTTACTAGTCACCATTTAGATGAGAATTTGAAAGTAAGAATTTAATATCTAGATCCAGTTTTCCTTTGAACTTCATGCGTCTTACACTAAATGTGACCCATGTAATGTTTCCCAGTGATAAATTTTCCCACATCTACTGGCTCTCTCCTCCTCCAGGCTCTCTCCCTTCCCCTGTCATCTCCTTTTTTCCTCTTGTCTTAGTTTATTGTTGCTGTTATTGTCTCCCCTTGCAGGGTCCAGAGGATCTGGCCCCCCATCCTCTCACCACTGGCTCTCAACTCATCTCTGCGGTACTGCCTCTTGAGCATATGAGCTCACCCTCTGCCCACGCTCTCTTCCCACATCTTTCCTTAGACCACCTCACCCCTTCTAAAGTTGTCTAGATGTTTTGTTTTTTATTTTAACTAACCACTAAAGCATTTTGATTAATATACAGTCATACCCCTGGGGCTGGCAACCCATAATGGTTGCAGCCATAAAAAACCTTCTGTGTCTTAACGACAATACTTGGTGCATGTGCTCTTTGATTTCTAGACCAGGCAGTGAACACAGAGAGAAAGATTGCCTTGGCCTGGTCTCCCCTGTTGTTGTTTGTTCTTCATGAATATACTCTAAGTTCATAATGAGACCATGTAGTTTCATGTTGGATACAGGTATTTTGGTATATTATTCCATAAATTTAAAAAATGTTGATTTTTTTTGAATACATGTAAATTTGCATCCAAGTGCCAAGGTTATTGAGGACCAGTGTTTCAAATGTCCTAAATTTAACAGTTCACTGTAGACCCTTAACGAAACTTTACCCAAAATTGGCAAACATTATTATAGTCTAGTTGTTTGGCTGATGCACTCTCTACTTTCTTTCACTTATGCAATTTTTCTGTGGTTGTACTCTGCTTGTAATGCTTTGTTGCTGAGTTGTTTGTGTGCATTTGCACTTTTGTTGGTTTGCCTTGCTGTGTAGTCACTACAGCAGCCAAGTGTGTGGCTGCATGCATTTTTGTTGGGGTGCACTCACACGAGACCTTTAGAAGATTTTATTTGACACCATAGTTTGATGGCAGACAGTAAAATATTTGGAGACAGTGGAGTATTAATGTTTGTTCTAATATGTAATTGTTGTTGGCCTCAAATTCTCTACATTAGCTTGTTTGAGTCCAAATCATAATTTGACTGTCCCCCACCATCAAGCCCCATTGATCTGCTTTGTTGTCTACTGCTCTTAATCCCTGTCCCACTTCAGTGGGCCTTTGGTCAACACAGTTCTGGTAAGAGTTAAAGGTGCTTTTTTTTCTTTACTCTATGCAGAGAACAGTGTATGGACAGTCAGAATTATGTCTGCATGACTGAGGGGAGAGCCGCTGCAAGTGGCAAAGTCTAAAACACATCGGTCCTCCTCAGAAAAAGTCTTGAATGACGTCTTTTATGGAATTGTATGCGTCTTGTTTTCTGTAAATGCCATTAATAATGTTTTCATGTCTGCAAGAATTTTCCTGCTGTGGCAGTACAGGTTGCTTTCTGACCACACAAGGGCCAGCCATTGCTTGGTACACACTTCAGTGCAATGTGTTGACATTATTAGGCGAACTTTGCTTGGACTAGAGCCACACCTCCAGTGTGAAAGCACCTTAAATGGATTGTAAGAGACGGTTTCTTACAAAGATCTAAAATAAGTGTTCACACCACACCCTGCTTTATCCTTTTTTTCTGCTCTCTGTATCTGTTTGCACAAGGGAGGGTGTGGCTGACCATCTCTCTCTCTTTCTCTGAAACACACACACACAAAAACTGTGCAGACAGCATACAGTGGGTACAGAAAGTATTCAGACCCCCTTAAATGTTTCACTCTTTGTTATATTGCAGCCATATGCTAAAATCATTTAAGTTCATTTTTTTCCTCAATGTACACACAGCACCCCATATTGACAGAAAAACACAGAATTTTTGACATTTTTGCAGATTTATTAAAAAAGAAAAACTGAAATATCACATGGTCATAAGTATTCAGACCCTTTGCTCAGTATTTAGTAGAAGCACCTGTTAGATATTAACTGTGTAAGACATTGCAACTTCAGGCATTAACACTTCACTGTGCACAAAAGAATATGTATTGTAGAAAACACTAGTATCTTTAATCACTATATGGAATGTAATATTAATGTTCCTGTATGATTGCAGTACAAAACACTGTTTGGAAATTCTTATCTTAATATGA